ATTTGCTCTATTATAGAGTACAGAGAACAGATAATGTCACCTGGGCCTTACAGCCACGTTTGCTTTTTAATACTACAATTTCAAATTATATACTGAGATAAGAATAAGATTAAAAAATACACATTTCTTCTGTTAGCAAGACAGTATGCTAGTCTGTAAAGCCTTAGAATACCAATAATCCTATTTATTATGCACCTATTAACCAGGCAGTGTATTTAATCCTTTACACTTATTAGCCTTTATTTTCAAAGTAATCTTAGATAAGTTACAACCATGCATTCAAAGGCTTACAAATGTGTTTGTTTTGTCTAATATGGTCCTTAAAAAGTCATTCATGCATAAATTGGTGAAGACCTAGATACGATCATCTCACACAAAGAAAGAGTAATAATAATAATAAGCAAAATAAAGTTTTAAATCTCCCTTAATAGTTATGATAGGTGTCTGCTGATACCAAACAACACAGTCATCAAACATGGGGCAAACTTTCAAACTTTATTAATAATTTCCAGCCCCACATCTATCCCAACAGATACATACTCACTATAGCCCTCACAGAAAATTCTTTCAAATTTGTTTGATTCTTGTATCTAAAGGCCCAAATTAATTCATATATATGTCAAAACAGCCAATCATCAGATTCTTCCCAGCCCAAAGACTGTAAGGCTAAATGCCTTTAACTTCAGATTGAAAGGATATTTTCCTTATAAAAACTGCTAAATAGTATACAGCTGTAAGAAAGTGTTTTCAGTTCTGTGTATTGATAAAAAAATATAAAGCATAGTTTCTCTTTTGGATTATGAGATATATAATGAGGCCCCACTTCTTGCAGCCACAATACAAAATATAAAACAATACTTCAGCATCCGGCAGATATATATAGATAATTGGGCTTTTAAAATATGTTCCAAAACACATTTAAACACTTATATGTGTGTAATACATATATATATATGTAGTATATATAAAATAAAGGCATTGCATATATATCAAAGTATAATCCTATTATACTCCTAAACTTGAAAAGAAATTAAAATTTGAACTACAGTATAGGGTGTTAAAGTTACATTACTTAAGATTCACTTAATGAAATGACAAATCCTATACTTCATCATTAAATCAGAAATCAATATATACAACAAATATAAAATTTGAATAAAAATATACACCTAAGACCCAAACGCCATCATTAGCTTAAAAAGACTTTGTTGACCCACATGTGTTGGGCAAGTCAAGCAGCTAATTACTCCCAGCTTTCTCAAATTATGTAGAAGTGCCGTAGCTAAAATTAACAACAAATATAAAAATGACACCATAACTGTTAAGAAAACAATTTACAATTAAGAAAGTGAAACAACTCCAAGCAGAGTAAAGCTGCTCTCAAACCAAGAAACTAACCTTTGTTATTCTTTTCGTGAGCTACCTTCTATAAAATCTCATTTTTTCTTTTCTTTGGTCAGATATGTGACTATGCAAAGTGAAACTACATGCCAGGAGTCTTATAGATGCTATTACTCCACATTGAAAAAATAAATATAAGTTGCCTTCCTATTAACTGCAGCTCACATTCCCAAATTAATATTGCTTATTTTCAAAAAGTGTGTCATGTGCGGCACGTGCGTAGAGATACTTGGTGCACTGTGAAACCAAACTAACTTTTCCTTTGGACTACTGTTCCTTGCTTCAAAACAATTCCTTCTTAGTCTATATATTCAAGATTCCTTTGGTAGTAGAAAGTAACTGTGTTTCAAAGTGAGGTCTATTACTGTTCTTTTTTAATAACTATAATCATGTACATTAAGAATACATGTCTTTATATACAACCAGCCTTCAAGGTTGCATGCTTGCAAAGTAAAGAAATAAACATAATAATACAACCGTGGGCAAATACTTCCAAAAAAAGAAGGAATTAATCACATCTTTTATATTCACACATTGTTACATATCAAAAGCAAGACTAGATTTTCATCTAAACTTCAAGATAAAAGAAATAATTATTTTGTTATTTAAGTCAGTGTACAGGGTACTTTTATATTAAAGAAAGAACATTTCTGTTTAGTTGCCACCAAAATTTTTCAAGTACAGTCATATCTCTGCCACTTTTCAAATCTATACAACTGAAGAAAACCCTAAATTCCAAATAATAAGTTAAAGATGTGTTTCTCAGGAACAGGATCTCTCTCATTCAGCCTTGTGCACCTCAGTTGCTCAGCCTACAGAAAACGTCCCAGGAATGTAGCTGAAATAAACAGAATTGTCAGCTAATACTTCCAAAGATTTAAGCTGGTCTGACCTTAGTATCTAGGAAACTCTCTAACATATGAAAACCCTCTTAACACATTATAAAACAATAAAAGCAGAGGACTGCTGTAAAATCAACATGACTCCAGTCTGTCTAAATAGTAAATTGTAAATGACTTAAAACTCTCAGCTTTCTCCTACAACATTCGTTCCCCAAGCCCCTCTCTCTCTCCTGCCAATCTTCCTCACATTGCTACCTTCAGAAAGTACTTCAAGAGAACTTGAAACAAGGAACAAAGGACCACCTCCCTCTTCCTTAACTCCACACTGACCGTCTCTGCCACAAAGCAGAGTCCCCTGCTCTCCTGTATGGATATTCTGCCCTCTTAATTTTGTTTCTGCCTGCATGATAATATTTCTCAAGATAGATGACCGAACACAGAGAGATGAAAATGTTCCTGTCTAGACCCACCATCCAGTAAGTATTTATTTACAGTATCGTGAATATTAGTAATTCTTAAATCCACATCTCTGACTCTATCTCTCCCTTTGCCATGACCTTTAAAAATAAAAGTGCGAGACCTCACCTTGGCTATCCCAAGCAGTCAAACTTTCAAACTCTTCTTTTGAGAGACAGAAGAACTACTAGAGTAAATACCAAAAGAAGGGGTCCCCCTTTTAAATCAGTCACCGGGGCTGGTGATTTTCTTTCCGGTATTTCTCAGGTGTCCACCACCCCCATGTTTGGTTCAGGTCTCAATTAGCACATGATGGAACTCCAGTTTTCTTTCTGCCTTAATATTTTTGGCATTCAAAAACATCCTCCACATAGTAAATGCATCTTTTTCAGCTGGCCTTGGTTTGATATCTCCATGTAGAAGATTACAGAGGCTTCTGGTAATTGGAGCTCCTTTTAATTTCAAGGCCTTTTCATAATTACACTTTCTCTAAATATCCTAGTCACTACCCTCAGGCCTGCTGTGTTCCACAGAAGCTTATAGTCTCTCTCCCTTTGCACTCATATAGCTCCCTCCATATAGCAACCCCCGTGTTAGCTACTGATATTACTGGAATTCAGAACTCACTCTTCATTCAACATTCCACTCCCAAACTTCTTACACCACAAGTTTCTCCACATCCTAAGCGCCATCAAGGTGTGTGTGTGTTAAAATTGTCAAAAACAGCCTGTTCATATTCATTTGAACCAATTCAAATACTCCTTATAACTCTATCACATGCTTTAAAATTGAGGTGACATTCCATACAATTGCATTAGGTTTGGGGAAAATTTCCTTATACATTATGTATGTGCTTATCCGCTATTCTTTAATTTACTGGTTGACCCCCTAAGAGAGGTGGTTGTAGACTACCCCTTCCATTGCGGGAAGGCTTTGGTGCCTAGGGGAGTGTTCCTGTTCACCTGCTGCAGGTTTCCCCCCAAAAAAATATTGATGAGGAGGCACCTGATATGACTTGTACCAGAATGGAGACAAAATATGTCATTTCCATGGAAGTTGCAAAAAAATGCGAGTCAAGTGTAATATAAAACGTCACTGCATTCAATGAACACTTTCCCTGGCGTCCATCCTTACCTTAGCCTGGGCTCCAGAACTTTTACAACTTCCTAAGACAGTGGTTTTCCCTGCAGCTTTTCCTAATATCCCCGCGCTGAGTGCCACAATTCACAACACTCTGGCTTAGCAAACTCTACTCCCAAAGTTTATAGAAAGCATTCATGATTATCCAAGTGATATTTATAAGGCAAGTACCAGCCAGTCCTTCGGGGCTGAAATTCAGCACCTTGACAGACCTGTCTCCACCCGCTAAGCCTTGGCTATTGACACTAAAGGGACTGGCGCCATAGTCCCCTCTCCTTTACACTCTTATCACCCCCTCTATGCAACACGCCTCTGGATGGATACAGAAACCATCTGAAATTCAGAATTGCGCCATTAACAGTGGTGGGCGGGCTGGGTCTCCTCCCAGGGTGGCCTGGCCCAGGAAACCTGCCTTTGATGGCCGCTGTCCAAAGTTTCACAGCCACAAACTTAAGCGCAGCCTCCTGGCGCTCCAGCGCAGCACCCCACCCTTGAAAGGCCTGTGCCCCACTTCGATGCCCCACTCTCAGCGACCCAAGGATGAAAGGCAAGAAGAAAGCTGCAACTTTCTAACTGTATGTTGACATATTGGCCCCCATGTTCGCCTAGAGGCAGGTAGTTGTTTTCTAGCCAGTTGTTTTCACAGCTGGCCCGGCCAATCACCCTCTCTTAAAGGCTTATTTGACAGGTGAGAAATTCCTCATGTCCAGATTCCTCCAGGAACCCCTCAGCATCCATCCGAGCCAGAGGGGGCTAACGTGGAAGGGAGTGGAGCTGAAACCTGCTGCGCGGGGCCCCGGGGACTCTGGCGCCTGGAATGAGCTGGTCCAGGGGGAGTGAGGGGAGAGCCGGAAAGTCTCACGGGTTGGAAGAGGCGAGACAAGAAAAGGGCCAGATACCTGGAAATGCCCCGAGAGGGATGGAAGTGGGAGGAGAGGCTGCAGGCTGGAGGGAAACCGGGAATGTAACAAGGGGGCGAGGGAGACCTGGACCCAAGGAGTGCCGTGCCTGGGATGCGGCCGTCCCACTCGGAGGGTACCGGTCCCCTCCGGGAGCTCCGGCGAGGCTGGCTCCGGCTGAGCGCCCGGACCCGGAAAGTTGGGGCGGCGAGGGGCGCTGGGCGGGAGCGCCCCCTGCGCGGCGGGAAGGGGCCGGGCTCACCTTCTGGTCGACGATGGAGCAAGCCATCTCGCGGACGTGCGCCAGGCTGTAGTCCCCGGACGAGTCCTGGAGCAGCAGCACCGGCTCGCGGCTCAGGCCGATCTGCAGATGGAAGGAGATGCCCG